TCCTTGGAAACCCTATAGGGAAGTTCTACTCTGTCCTGTAGGGTCACTATGAGTCGGAATCAACTCGACGGCAATGGGTTTGGTTTGTTTGTTTGTTTTTTATCCTCGTTCTGAGGAGTCCTGGTGGCGCAGTGGTCAAACTCTTGGTTAAGGTTGGTGGTTCCAACTCACCCAGCTGCTCCGTGGGAGAAAGATGTGGCAGTCTGCTTCTGTAAAGATTACAGCTTAGGAAACCCTATGGAGCAGTTCTACAGCCCTGTAGGGTTGCTGTAAGTCAGAATTGACCCTACAGCACACAACAGCCACAACAACAGCCTCATCCTGTGGGGACAGTGGTAGAATTCTCGCCTTTCATGCAACAGACCTAGGTTCTACTCCGGGCCGATGCACCAATGTGCAGCCACTGCCTGTCAGTGGAGGCTTGGAGGCTTGGAGGCTTGTGTGTTGATGTAATGCTGACCAGGTTTCAGCAGAGCTTCCAGACTAAGATGGACCAGGAAGAAAGGCCTGGAAATCTGCTTCCAAAAATCAGGCAGTAAAAACGCTGAGGATCACTATGGTCCGATCTGCAGCCAATCATGGGAATGGCGCAGGGCTGGGCAGCATTTCGTTCCCTCATGTGTGGACTTGCCGTGAGTCTGGGGCTGACTCAGCAGCAGTTAACAACATCGACTGCAGTGTCTAGATGAGAGAGAATGATGGGACAGGGAAACGAGAGTAGAGGACAGATCTGAAATATATTTAGGAAGTTCAAATCACATTGGGCGACTAATTAATTAATGTATGCCTTGCCTCCCTGAGATATGCAGTATAGTCTTCACTTTATTGAAAGATTCCTTTAAATAGTAAACTCTGTTAATACATTTAGAATACTATCTAATTGCAAAAAATACCTGTGTATGCTGTCACAATTTTCTAGGACCACATCTCTTCAACATATTGGTTGGATTGTGTGGCAAATAGATTTATAAACCCCACCAGTGGCCATAGACACGTGTTATAGGATTTGAACCTTGTTAGGAAGGAAAGTGTTGCTTGCAAAGAGTCCATTTGTTCAGCTGAAAAGAATGCTCATTTCAGTTAATAAGCAAGGCAAAAATCCCACGGTACTGAAGCCCTCTGGGACCATAGGATGGTTCTGTGGAATTTAATTAAAATGACACTGTTTCTGGAAGTCACGGCACATCCTCGCTGGAGGCACTGGGAGAGTGGAGACAGCTGGGGACCCACCTGAACTGAGGGTCTGC